TCTCACCCATCTCCCCTCTTTCCCTCACTTACCTCTCTTTTCTCCCACCTCACTCAGCTCCCCTCCCTTCTCTCCCTCTCTCCCCTCCCATCACTCCCTGCACTCACCGCCCTTCTTCTTGCCCTTCTCTGCTTCCTTCTCCGCCTTAGGCTTCTCATTCGCGATCACAGCAGCAGCAGCGCTGATCTCCTTGGCGTCCTTCCCCACCAACGGACCCTCACTCATCTCTCGACCAGCCCGCTAATCCTCATTCCGCTCCCCATCCCCAACCCTTCTACCCAGCCATCATGTGCGCCCCACCCACCAACCTCTCCATCACTCCTCCCTCTTCTCTCCCCCACTCACCGCCCTTCTTCTTCCCCTTCTCTGCCTCCTTCTCTGCCTTAAGCTTCTCATTCGCGATCACCGCAGCAGCAGCGCTGATTTCCTTGGCATCCTTCCCAACCAACGGAGCTTCCACCTTTCTCAGGATGTTCTTGATCAGCGACACATAGTGAAAGCTTTTCTGCACTTGACGGGAGGGAGGAGGGAGGGTGAGGGAGGGAGCAAGAGCAGGCACAAGAAGGCATGAGCAGCGCGCGACTCATCTCATCTGATTGGTGTCCTTGCCCACCAGTGGAATTTCGGGGGAGGTCGAGGTGATAACGCTATAGAACAGTGAGTGGCATTTGAGAGGTCTTTAGCAGATGACTGACGAGAAATGGTGAGAGAGAGAGAGAGAGAGAGAGAGAGAGAGAGAGAGAGAGAGAGAGAGAGAGAGAGAGAGAGAGAGAGAGAGAGAGAGAGAGAGAGGATAGGTGGGACGTGGTGAAAAGTGGAGAAGAATGGTGGCACCGTGGCACCATTCGTATCACGAATTTCCACCATTTTCCTCCACGATACCAAAATTTCCGCCGCTTACCGAGTGGGGAGTGATTCTGGCGGCAATCAGGTCTGCAAACTCGTTAAAGTCTGCCTCGCTTTTAGGTAGAAAGTCGTCCAGTGACCGCTCCGCCTCCTTTTTCTTCCCACCAAACAGCTCCTTTGTTGCCTTAAAGTCGCTCTCCTCCACGAGCCTGTGTGAATATGCGCGGACAGGGAGAAGGGGGGAGGGGGGAGAGGGGAGGGAAGCGGGAAGAGGGGAGGGAGGAGAGGGGAGGTAGGATGTGGGAAGGAAGGGGGGAAAGAGGGGAAAGGGTGGTGTTGAAGTGACCGAAGCGGGAGTGGGGAACATGTGGGGGAGGAGGGTGGGGGGAGGGGGGTGGTGGGGCGGGTGTGGAGGGACAGGACGAAGGGACATGGGAAGGGGGGTCATGAAGTATCACAATTGCAACAGAGCTAAAGAGAGGCGTACTCTAAGCTCACCCTCACCATTGCAGTCTGAATTTCTCGACCTAAGGGTCCACAAGCACTCTATCATCCACCTCCTCCTCCTCTCTCGCTCATCCCCCCACTTTCCTCTTCCCCCCCACTCCCAACCAGACACACAAATACACTCACTCTGTCCTTCTCACCGCTGCTGTCTTCACTTCTTGGCCATCTGCAAGCACTCCATCATCCACCTCCTCTTTCCCCGTCCCCCTCCCCTTCTTCCCCCCCTCTCCCGCCCCGCCACCCTCCCTCCCCTTCTGCCCTTCCCTTCCAAAACACACACCCAACAAACACCACTCTCCTACTCCCCCCTTCCCTGCTCCTCTCTCAACCGCTTCTCTCACCGTTGTTGTCTTAGCTTCTCCGCTACAGGGTCTGCGAGCACTCCATCATCCACCACCTCCGCTTCTAACCCCCCCACCCTCCCCCCCTCCGGCACACGCCCAACAGCAGACACACACTCGTCCCCACTCTCCCTTCTCACCGTTGCTGTCTTAGCTTCTCCGCTACAGGGTCTGCGAGCACTCCATCATCCACCTCCTCCTCCTCCTCCTTCTCCTTGCCCTTGCCCTTGTCCTCCGCTTTCTTCTTCTTCTTCTCGCCCTTGGGCTTCGCCTGCACGCCACCAGCCATCCAACAGCATCATCACCAGCACACCAACAAACCCGCAGCACACCAGCAACCAGCAGAGCAATAACACACCACCGCACCAACACACCAGCACGCCAGCACAACAGCACACCAGCGATCAAACACCAGCACTGCAACACCAGCACTCCAACACCGGCATACCAGCACCAGCACCAGCACATAATCCGAGACACACGGTGGAAGCTGCTACTGAAACGGCACAACAGCAAGCGCCAATGTACACCTTGTAAACGCCAACCTCTCTCAGCAACTCCTCAACAAAACGGCAAAAAAAAAGGCTAAAATGCGAAAAATCAAGACGCGGAAAAGTCGAGGGCGAGGGGGACTGACTGAGGCGGTGGTGGTGGGGGCCGGTGCTTCTTCCTCCTCTTCCTCGTCCTCCCACGATGACTTCACCGGCTCTTTCGCCACCACGACTGGCGGCGGCTCAAAGTCGTCAGCATCTGCGCGGAAGTGAAAGACGGGGGGGGGGGGGGGGGGGGGGGGGGGAGGAAGGGGAGGAGGGAGGGGAAAGGAAACGGTTGAGGGGCGAAGGTGGGGTGGGTGGGGAAGGGGGAGAGGAGGACGCGATGAACGGGAAGGTGAGAAGAGATAAGGGGGACGAGGGATAATTGAAGGACGAAATTTTAAACCCGAAATCATTTCACTGGTTTTTATGGTTTTAGAAACGGGATGGCGAGTACGCTACGGACAGGAAACAAGTTTGCGAGCGACGCACAATAAGAATCAGCACGGTACTCCAGCAACCATTATCAAAGCTACAAGCAATGAATAGCCCACCAGGATCACAACCATACAGTTCTAAGGACCAAAGTCGACGGAAGGAAATGCTACGAAGAGAGGTGTCGAACCAATAGGGACTAATCACGAACCAATTGATAAGGATCATGCAGACATTCCAATTACGACCTTGAACGACCACAAGTCGAGCTGAACATTCATATTCTGGCTTAGATCGTGCATTCCGTTCACCTCGAGGATGCAGAAGAGGAAAAATCCAGAGCTGTGAGGGTAACAAAGTATACGTGCCATGTCACTATGTCTCAGCTGTTCAACAGCCAGGACTTTGACACGTCAGCAGTCTTGCTGACGTGTTATAGCAGCCGTCAACGTTCATGTGCCAGGTAGCCAGATATCGTAGCCTTTAAAGACTCATTAAACTCACTCCTCCATTAAGTCGGAGGACGAGAAAGGAAGAACGACCAGGAATAGTCGACAATGGATATTTCTCGATGCAACAGACCATGCATATTGGACGAATGAATAATCAATTCGCCACACCATCGATGATGCTCATGCCAAACACTAGCACGAGGCTCGCAGATACGCCGACGAACAGGTGAGACTGCTCTTGAAGCGCCATCCGTTTTGAAATGATCCTAGATTGCGAGCATCACTTTTAAGGCTAAAAAAACTACCTTGACGCTTACACAACAACACGAGTCCAAATCACCTAAGCTAACTAATGAGTCTCAATATGGCTGCGATGGCGCTCACGCAAAAAACCGAATCAGCCAATCCGCGAACTTACCCCAATCGTCTGACATTGCTGACGTCTTTCACTAGCCAAGCTTGAGCCTGAAACGGTTGAAACGATCAGCAACCTTGTAGATATACCTTCACAAGTCAAACTTCTGGTGTGCTAATGTCTGCGGCGTGGGAGAGCGCGAGGAAACAGCTACTTCCTCTCCTTGGTTCTACTAATCTGCTAAGGATACTAGTTTCCGCAAGACAGGAAAGAAAAGTAGCTGGTCAACAGGAGCTGTCAGTCTTCTACGACTGGCCCTATATTGAATGAAAATAAACCAGAAAAGAAGAGCATCTGTGAGAAGGGGGTAAGTCCTAAGATGGAAATCTGAGCCATAATCAAGTTTCTGGCTGGGAGAATGCGTGGCTGTAAGGAGGATAGGGCTTCATAGGGAGAACGCCGATGATATCACCTGATTGGCTGGGGTGGGGGATTCCTGCTTCTGGAGGTCGCAGGTGCTACATCGTCCGAGCGACTGACACGTGGACTGCTGATGCGTTGACGAAGGCTTTGCTTGCTTAGCAGTTACATGCGCAATTGAGACCTGGTATAATTATATATGCTAGGCACGAGAAATAAAACTTTGTCAATGCTAAGCAAGCACAAAATGCTGGTACCGTACATTGCAGCTAGCAACAAAAACAGAAACATGCACTGATATCCTACTTGAATTCAAAACATGAACTAATCTAGACTCGAATATGGAAGTAGTCATTGTCGAAGTGGTGAAGTCGGACATAACCATCCTCTCCACCGCTTGCAAAGCTGCATACAAACACCAACAAACAATGAGCTCCCTGACCACTGAAGACACTCCAACAAAACAGAAAAGTGACAATGAATGAAGCCGAGAACCTGAGACGAAGTGACAATAATTCAAAGCTGCATACCTTCGTCCATCAGGGCCAAACGCAAGAGCGTTCAACGGGCCGAAATGGCCCTTCACCCGGCCAATCTCTTCTTCCAATACCTGCCAGAATGATCGTTCACAAGGGAAACAGCAAATGCATGGGCACTGAGCACAAGGCACTGAGCGACCTTCTTCATACGGTAATAACAAAACAGAATCGACTACGAGTAAGGGAGGAAAGCACAAGTGGCACTGAAGTAGCACAAATTCGTCCACAGAAGAGGCTCATGAGGGACAGAGAGGAACAGAGAAAACAGAGCAGGGATCACAAACCTTGTGGTAAAAGACGGCTTCAAATTTGCCTGCTCGGGACGAAGTGGTGGTGACAGATGCAGCATCCTGTCCTCCTCCCAGCACCACCTGCAGGCAAACGTCGGGAATAAGCAAACCACAGGAGAAAGCAATCATGACTATCAAGTGGTGGTGACAGATGCAGCATCCTGTCCTCCTCCCAACACCACCTGCAGGGAACGATAGGAGATAGGCAAACCACAGGAGGTAGCAATATGGTGATCACCTGTTGGTGACACATGCAGCATGGTGACCTCCTCCCAGAGAATGTCAGAGAGATAAAGGGAGGAAGAAAGGTGATGGTCGTTGTGAAGGCAGGGAGGGGAACTGATTGGTGAGGTAGTGAGAGTGGACGAGGAGAGGGGAGGAGGAACTGACATGGTCGAAGAGAGGGGAGATGTCAGCGGCGTTGATGGGTCGCTCTGTCTGGTACGTCTTGAGCAGCCAGAGGTGAGGCTCAAGTGGTTATAGAAAGGTGATACTAACACCGTCAGCCGGAGGTGAGACAAAAATTATCGAACTAGGAGAGGAACTGACATGGTCGAAGAGAGGGGAGATGTCAGCGGCATTGATGGGTCGCTCTGTCTGGTACGTCTTGAGCAGACGCAGTGTGCGTGTGTCCCACAGCTGCATTGGGAAGAGGAAAGTCACAAAGAACGAAACACACGTTTAGCAGGGGGGGAAAAGAGAGAAGAGAGAGAGAGAGAAAAAGATGTCACAGGTGGAAGCGATTCATCTGCTGGCAAGTTCTCCTGCTTAAACCTGAAGGAGAAAACTTGTCACAGGGACTACTGTGTACTTTCTCCCTTCTCCCTTCTTTTCCGTTTCTTCCAGCTCACCTTGGCACACGTATTATCCAACGACCCTGTGATGAAGTGCGACCCGTCTGCTGACAGATTACAGTGGCACAAACACTAACTCTTTCTAGCACATGCATGGAGTCTCACCTTGGCACACTTATCCAACGACCCTGTGATGAAGTGCGACCCGTCTGCTGACTTGGACAGTGACGTCACTGTCTTGCTGTGCGCCACTTCCGGCTCCGTCTCTCGCAGCAGCTTGCCCGTCTGAGTGTGTTGGAAGAGCAAGGGGCGGAGGGAGAGGAAAGAGGGAAGAGAGTGGGGTGGGTGGGAATTCACATGCATGGAAGGCAGGTCTTGCTGTGCGTCACTTCAGGCTCCGTCTCCCGTAACAGCTTGCCCATCCGAGTGCGTTGAGGAAGAGAGGAAGAGAGGAAGAGAGGAAGAGAGTGGGATAAATGGGGAAGAGGGAAGGTAGTAAGGTCGGCACGGGAAGCAAGCGATGGGCATAGAGGGGCACTGGGGAACGCGAGCATGTGGGCATGGATGGGCGGCAGCATCGTGAAAAGTCTTGATAGACGTTTCAAGTGTTGAGTCGACTCACACGGCGGCGTGTGCATGAGTAAAGCCCCCACCCCACCAGGGAACCCACCACCCGTCCGCCTCACCTCAGCGTCCTACATGCAAATAATGCAGTCCTCCCCCGTGCACCTGAGCGGGTCTGGTGGAGTGGGTCCCACACACACATGCTAGTCGCAGGCTCGCTAGCAGCACAGCACACCTCCCATGAACACCAACGTTATCACCTATTATCCCCCTTCATCAACACCACCCATCCGCCTCACCTCGGCGTCCCACATGCGGATGATGCAGTCCTCCTCCCCCCCGTGCCGATGAGTGTTTTGTTGAGTGGGGACCTACCACTCACATTCACCCACCATCAGCACCCTACCTATCACTACCATCCAGCATTACACCCATGAACACAGCACATCCGCCTCACCTCTGCGTCCCACATGCGGATGATGCAGTCCTCCCCCGTGCCTATGAGCGTCTGGTTGAGAGGGCCCCACACACAGCGCATGATTCGGCCCTGGGGACCCGTGATCTGCAGCACTGACTCGTCCTCCTCTGATGGTGAAAAAACAGAGTGAGTGGAGGGGAAGAGCGTCAGGTAGGAGGGAGGGTCAGGGACACAAACAAATGATTCGGCCCTAGGGACCCGTGCTCTGCAGCACCGACTCCTCCTCCTCTGATGGTGGAAGTGGAAGGAGCATGGGCAGGGAGGGAAACAAAAGCAGCACTTATCCAACAGGGAGACGCGCAGCGCATGATTTGGCCCTGGGGGGCTGTGACCTGCAGCACCGACTCCTCCTCCTCTGATGGCAACAGAAGGGGGGAGAGGCGGGAGACAGATGAACGAGCACACGGAGCGGGAAACTGAGAGGCCCACCACAGCACATGGCACGCAGCGCATGGCATGCAGCGCATGGCACGCAGCGCATGGCGCGCAGTACATGGCACGCAGCACATGGCACGCAGCACATGGCACGCAGCGCATGGCACGCAACGCATGGCACGCAGCGCATGGCACGCAGCGCATGACACGCAGCGCATGGCACGCAGTGCATTATTCGAGCCTGGGGGGCTGTGCTCTGCAGCAACCGCTCCTCCTCTGATGGTGGGAAAAAGACGGGGGAGGATAGGGACAAAACAGGTCCATTCACGTTCTCGGCTGCCCTCCTTGATCCGCTTCACGTGAATGGCCGGCACGCTGCCCATAAACGGGTCCACCGTGATCGCCGCGAGCTGCTCGCCCTCCGCAAGAGTGACGGAGCTGCTCGCCTCGCCCTCCTCGCCAGAACAGAACTACTAAGGGCGAATGGCCGTTGTGCAAGAGAGACAAGGGGCGAAGGGCCGTTGGGGGAGAGGATGAGTGATGCTCACGTTCTCGGCTGCCCTCCTTGATCCGCTTGACGTGAATGGCCGGCACGCTGCCCATAAACGGGTCCACCGTGATCGCCGCGAGCTGCTCGCCCTCCGCGAGCGCGACGGAGCGCGCAGGGCCGTCCATGGTGAAGGTGTAGTACGGCGTTCCCGTCTCGACCTCCCACAGCTTCACGCTCTGATCCGCCGACGCCGTTATAAGCATCTTGGAGTCGCCTGTAGCGCGGATGAGGAGATTTGAAAAACCATGATGACGAGAAATGAACGGAAAGAGGGACGGGTAAGGCAGGGAGAAAGGGATAGAGGAAGAGGAATGGGGGAAGAGGGATCGGGGAGGATGGATGGTTGACGTAGCGTAAGAGCAAGGTACGAGAACGGTAGGAGCTTGAATTGCAATGCCCATGAGGTCGCAATCCTGATCATCAAGTGATACGCCACTGCCGCCTACCGTGACGGGAACGGAGCAAAATACGGCAAGTTTGGAGGCGCCTTAAAATTGCAAGGTACGAGCAAGGTAAGACCTTATGCTGCAAGTCCCATAAGGTCGTCCTCCTAATCGTCGAGTGGTACGCCACAACCGCCTACGCGTGAAGGGAACGGAACGGGAAAATTTACGGCGAGTTGCAGTATAACTTGAAAGGCAACAAAAAAAGGAAACCCTGATTAAACCCTCGCGTGGACGGCTCCTACCGTTCTGCCACGCGTCCTTAGTGGCTAGGGTTTGCATCGGCCGACTCGGTCCGCCCTGAATCGAAATAACCTAGAGCCTAGTGCCTAATGCAATTGAACAAAGAAGGACCTAAGCGCCAGAACTGAAAGACCAGGGAGGCTGCTAAACGGCTCCAATTCCGGGAAAATCACGGCAACTTCCTCGCAACCCGCACAGCGCCATAAGCGCCGTCGTAATCGACGAATCTCCTTCAAGCCTCAATAAGACAGGCGTAACGGACAATCAACGAAATCTATACTGTAACCGAAACCAATCCTGATCGCTCGTCTAGACATTGCACTGAACGTTACCTAGTCTAATAACCTTATCAGTCAAGAGAGATTCAGTCCAAACATTGACCGGATCGACAATACCTAATGAAAAACGGCCTCTCTAATCCCCCACGAGAGCCGTCGCTGCTCCAAACGGCTTCGTTACGTCCTTTGGATTCGCACCAACCCTCTCGTCTCTATCCGGCTAGTCGTGCTACGCCTCGCTTTACACCGACGATCAGTGAAGAGCACCGGAAGTTTGAAAATTCGTTATCCGAGCACTCACGTGAGACGTCGCACGTCCACACGGCTCCGTTGTGGCCCTTGTACGTGCCGACGCGCTCGCCATTATCCGTGTACCACACGGTGGGTTGGTGATCCTTGGCGCAGGAAAACAGCAGATCGCCGTCGCGATTGTACTTGAGGAACGTCAGCGGCCTCTCATGACCCTTCATCAGCTGCGGCCTCATCTTTCCCGAACGTAATTAATTAGGTAAAATCCTTAGTTTTGAAGGAGGTGGACGGCTATGGCGGTCTAGGCTATTCAGCTAGACAGCTATGAGTTGAGCTAGCCGTGCGTGAAAGCTGAAGGAAGAACGAGGCACGGAGTCCTGCGGATGTGCAGGAGAGAAAGAGCAGATACGAGAAGAAGCCGACTTGAATGTGCAAGGAATTTATCGTAGTCACCAGGTTCCTTGTTGCGTCACAATAAGGTTTCGTATGGTCTGGCCAGATGCGGAACGGTTGGAATGGGTAAAGAACCTGAATTGGTCTGGATTAGGTCGAGTGGGTGGGATGTTCTGACGTGAACAGCGAGCGGTTCAGAACGGCTAAGAGAGCTACTCACTGCATTAACTTTGTTATGAGTGGTAAATGGTGTGCAAGAAAATGCCAATACGTATGAGTGCAAGTGATTAGACACAAGTGAAAGCCTGTAAGATATTGTGTAGTTAGTTTCTGTGAGAGTCTAAAGCCGCTTGCTCCCTCTCCACTCACAAAAAGAGAGCATTCTCGCATAATAGGCCAGCCAGAGGTCCAGATACGGTATTCCTACTACAGAACACGTTCCAGGCAAACCTTAGCATAGCTTACCTTTCCATTGCATGCACCCCACACCGCTCCAGGGTGCACTGGGTAGACACGGATCAAGGTTTGAGACTTGCTACCGTAAATTGGGAAGGTGCAACTGTTGTCTAGAAATGAGCAAACCTTCAGGCCATCTCTGGCGAATTCTAGCCTGGTCTAGTGGAACAGGGCAATTAGTTCTTGTGCAATGATAGATCCACATGACAACTTGGTTCAAAGCTCTAAATGCTCACAGGACAGCAGGGGGTCATCAATTATTTTTATAAAAACTACACAATGTAAGTGCAGCAAAACATGGGATTAGGATCAGTGAAATACGCCACCCGATCGGTTCACCATTACGCCTGCTTCATGTGCTGTACAATGCTTCTAGTAGGGTATCTTGAATTCCTGAAATACAGGCGCCATGAGAACTGGAAAACGTCACAGCAGTGCGACACGTCCAGTAAACGATTCCTGCGACCGTAGCTGTTATCACTGCTGTCGCCGTTGCTGGCGCCTTTGCTGGCGCCGTTTAAGCCGCTGTTTGTGGCATGTGCGTTGAGACTAAACGTCACGCAGCGAACGGACACCAGTCTGTGGATGAACGAGAACCGTCCGCGAAGCCGTCTGTCCGGGAATGGGACACTGTCTGTCGGGAAACCGACAGATTTGATGGTGAACTGCCACCGTCTGACGGTGAATAGTCACCGTGTGTTGTTGAACGGATACCGTATGTTAGTAAAGGACACCGTCTTTTGGTCGACGGACACCTGTTCGTCAGGGAACAGACTGCGTCCGTTAAGAACAGAGAATGCACGGACACCGTCTGTCAGTGAACGGAGACCACCGATCCGCATCGCGAAAGGGCTTTTGTCCCCTGCGACGTTGTCACATCGCTGCAGTAGCACTTTTCGTAAAAGCACAGGACCAAGTGAGTCACAGTCAGCCGACGCGCGTCGCGGCTGTCAAGTCCCCATGCATACGCGCTTCCGCTTCCGCCACTTTCGCCGCTAAAGCCGCTGTTGCTGCTGGAAGGAGAACGCGCTTCGGGGCTTTCGGGAAATCCATCCTCTTCTGGACGTCCATTCACAGTGTAAGTGTCCCCTCGCGGTTCGGAAGCGTCTGACGACCGTGTCGCGTTTGCCGCGGCGTAGAACCGATTTTGCCGGATCTCCCTGTGCAGCAACTTCGCATCGTGGCCGTTGCGGAGATGCACGAGGAAATCGTGGCCGTCCGTCACTTGAAGCAGCCCGGTCGCTGAAGATTTTCTTAGCTCCACGCGGAACCCTAGCGCGGTCAGCTTCTGCTGAAGCTGGCTTAGTAGCTTCACCTTGACCATAATTGCTTTGAAGGAAAGGCTTGCGACGGAGCCGAAGTAAGGGCCATAGAGAATCACGAGAGTCGGAGGTTCTTTGGGGGAATCAACTGCGATATTCGCAGAACTTGTTCTGGGAGACAGTATCGCCATGGCGACAGTATCTGCTGATCGAAGAACTTGTTCTGGGAGAAAGAAAATCGCGATCTTGAAACTGAACTGTAAGGATCCCTGTATCTAGAAAGTTGCTCAACATCAACAAAAAGACTCTCCCCACCACGGAAAGATGGTCGATGCAAATCAGACGTACAACGATATAGGGTTCTCCCCACCTTTGATGTACCACGCGAACGCGGAGGCTGAAGGGCCAGGAGATGTGTGTGTCAACTCGGTGCGGGTGACTTTTTTGGGGGGATTTCAAAGGTTGATTATGGTTCACTATGGTTAAAAGCGGTGAAAGTCAAAAGCTGCTCATGAACGTGGTCTGCCAGACTAAACCGCGTCGGACGAATCATGAACGAGGAAGTATGACCCCGCCCCCACCGCGCAATGCGATGCGATGTGAATGGTGATGTGAATGATTATGTGTATGTGCTGTGTGATGCGATACGATGTGGTGGACTTGCCTCTCTGAAGATGGAAAGGAGAACCACCATCATCACCGTGACACCGCCTTGTGAAACTTACGTGCTGAGCGATTGTTCGTCATGCTGTTTCACGTGTTTCGTTTGACAGAAACTGACTCGACATGTTGTTTTGCCGATAATTAGACAAAGTGTTGGACAATTTTCAGAATTGCGCGCAGCACTGTAGACCAGACTCGTTCAGAAATATCCTGCCCGAAAGAAGAAAATTAATAATGGTACGGCATATTCACGTGACAAGATGGTGCCAAGGAGCATCAGTGGGAGGGGTGAAAGTTGGTGGCTTGGGGTGCTTGTTTATGCTGTACAGTACCGCACTGGACTCACGAGGCTGTCATCAATTCCCCGGCGACAATTCCTCTCGAAAGCAGTTGTTTCATTTTCAACCAAACATTGAGGCTGCCCCGTGTCTTCTGGTTGGGGTGGTGAGCAATCAAAGGGTTTTTAGTTAATCCCGCATTGTTACTGGAACTATACGCCAAAAGCGCAGCACTGTCGCTTCTGGCGCACAGTTACTGCCCAGTTTTCGATCACAGCGCAGAGTTAATGAGATTTCTACGCAGTGAAGTTTTCATTGGTCAAAATGTCAACGGCCCGACAACTCCGCTTGGATTGACGGCTATCGAACCGTTTGCAATGAATTTTGGGCAGACAAATATATTACCCTCTCAGATGGCATGCTGTTTAGGGAGCATCAACCCTAAACACTGGGCGGAATTGTTTAGGGAGCATCAACCCTAAACATTGGGCGAAAGTGTTTTAGGTTAGTGCCCTTTCCGACGGGTTCAAACTATTTCTTTTTATGGCTGCCATCAAGGGAGGCATCAACCCTAAACACTATGCGAATGGTTGTTTAGGATTGATGCTCTCTCTATATGGGCTTGAAAAATGTTAAACACCTGACTAAGTTCAACTTTTTTCTCTTACACAGTAGGCTTGTCGTTTCAAGAGATTTAGACCAATGAGCGTCGAGCTGCGTAGAAATCGCACTAACTCTGCGCTGTAATCGAAAACTGGACAGTAACCCTGCCCCAGAAGCGATGAAATGCGCAATTGGCTTACAGTTTCAAAAACCGTGCTTTGTAAACTGAAAGCCCGCAATCAAATGAATGCCTGGCCGTAGAACCTGAAAGGCTTTTGTTTGCATTGAAATCATGTCGCACAGCCTAGTAACACGTAGAACGTCATTTGCGGGCACTTTCGAACTGCCAACTCCCATGTTTTTAGGAGGGAGTCGTAGCGGGGCCACAATCCAGCTCAGCACCTGCATTCCACCACAGCAGCCTTGTCGGGATCGTTGTTTGTTCAGAGGTGAGGGGCATTCATGTTGCATTTTCCAGCTGCATTACGTGTACCTCCATCCAGCGCAGCAATGAATGCTCCACAAAGTCGCTGCGCGGCGTCATGCGCGGCGGCTATGCCAATCATAAACGGCGGTGAACGAATCCTCTATAATTTCTATTCCAGAGGGCGATGCACGTCCCGCCAGAGCCTTCGCTTGTACGGAGTGTGGGAACAGTTGGCAGCTTCGGGCAATTGACAATTTGCTGGAAAAAACCCCACCATTGATTTTCGTCTTCCTGGTTGTGGATTTTTGTGGCTCCGCAACAGTCAAACAGAACCACTGGAGTGGAGACCCGTTTGGCTGCATCACATCCCATGTCCTCCGACACAAGACCAGAGGGTGCTGGGTACAGTGAAGGTCATCGTGTTAAATACCCCGGTTTTCGCAAGAGAGCTTATCTAAATTAATGAAACTACTGCATTTGCAGTAATGGCTCTTGCACTCTAGTCTATCACGCCTTTCTACAGCACACACTCCCCAGCCAGTCTTATCCCAGTGCCCTAAAACACCTCTTTCCCTTCTGGCCCCTCCCTTGGCACTTCTGCTGTGTTCAGATCTCATTTTATTAGTTGTGACTATGCAAACACATGAACATAGTGCTTTGCTGGATTGAACCATGGCACCATGTTTTCCAACAAAATACAAGCCGGACCTTAAGCAATTACCCACATATCGTAAATCCCGCCCTTCGGTATTGTCTCTTATAATGAATGGTCATTGCGGCTGAGACACGTCTAGGCCCGAGCCTGATAGCACGGATGTGACATTTAGTTTGCCAAATCTATCCACCAATTCCGGAGGAGGCTCGAAGTGTATTCCATTCAAAGGAATATTCATGTCCATTGCATACAACAGCGAGCCCTCCTTATAAGATTGCTGCTTTGAAACAAGGCACAATAGTTGAAAGGGGCGGAAGAGGAGAGGGCAGGGGAGAGTGGAGTGGGGCCGGGGATGGGAGGGAGGGCCTTGGTGAGCTCTAGAGAGGCGGTTCAAATGTTAGGAATTCCCTTATATATATATATATATATATATATATATATATATTACGCATTCCCAATACGATGCAACTGCTTCTCGTATATG